TCTATTACCTCCTTAAGCCACAACTGTTAGAGCTCCCAATTACTAAAATAATTTAGATACCATGCCGTATGGATCTAAAACACATTTACAGGGAGTAATTTCTTTATTGAGTGATTTGTTTCTCCCCCAAATAGCCAGGAGCACACTCGGACTACTAATCACAGTAACAAAAAGTAAAACCTAAAAGTCACTGCTTGACTGTAGTGTTTCAGACAACACTGCTCATTCAGTGTCTCCAGAGGTTGCGGTCCTGGTCTTTGAGCATCTGGAAGCTTTTCCATTATAGAAGAATATGCTATTGATTTATCCTTGTCTTATATTTGAAAATATGCTTTGTTCTCCAGAATCTTCCCTAAAAAGACTTGGCTTATGATTTAAGATCAAAGCATAACATGCGACCTTGGTGGCAGGCTGGGAGGAAATGTGGACATTTGAGGAAAAAAGAACACTGGTGTCCTTAATTCTCGCCTTGGCGTTGCTCTCTGCCACTTAACCCCTCTGAGCCTCATTTCTCTGTCTTCCAAATGCAGGAGAGAAATCAAATGATCTTCAGGTTATTCCCAAGATCGTGGCTTCTGTTTTCTCTGTTGAGTGTAATAATTTTCCTTAGGAGTTTATATTTCTTGTGAGTACTACTGAGGCAACTATAACATGTAACCATAAAAACCAGGTCTGGGGCTTTGGGGTTGTGACTTCACCAGAAGTCATTTTCGGTGACTGGGAATTCCATAGTTTAAAGTATAGATATCCAGTGCTGCTAACATATGAGGCACAAAGAGTTAAAACCACGACTGTTCTACAAATATAAAATGAACATATGTTCACAGTTTTAATTCAACTCATTAATGAGATTTCCATTCAAAGAACATTTGAAGAATTGGTTATTTACAGTCAATTTAATAAAGGAATGCTAGAATAAGATGCTAGACTAGATACAAAAATGGTAATACCCTAAGAGGCAGTAAGCCACAAACTTTGAGATTCTTTTCTACCAGAGAGGATTCTACAAATTAACAATGTCTTGGCTCTAATCAAATAGTTGAATTTAAATAATTTAATAATCCTTGAAAAATAAATAAATAATCATTGAATGAGCCCATTAAACAATGACATAAAAAGATTTCACTTTATTGGATAATTTCTTTTGGAAGCGTTTACACTGAAGACCCTTGAATGTGTAATAAAAGCCTGAGGGCTCCAAATATACTTTCTCTGATACACCTCTTTCTCTGATCTCTCCAACTGCTGGGTTATTGGGCAGATTGTTACCTCTCAATGGTAGTCTAGGGGAAAAACAGTTCAGAAATCATACATAAATTAGGGAAAACTATTTGTAAAATAAGCTTCATAGTCAACATTAGCCTAACTTATTTTCCTGTTGGTAAATATAATTCATATTAAAATCATTTCTATTAACTTTCTAGGCGGATTTATTCTTTGAGTGAAGGGTAGGAAGGAACAACAGTAGCACAGGAAGTTTATATCCATGTAAGTTTAAAGCCGGCAACAAATAAGCCAAGGGTCTAACAGGGATTTACTAGACTTCTTAGAATTTTATCACTGTCATCTTAGAAAGCTCTTAGCCCTAGAATACTGCCTCTATAATTCTCTGTTCTCTTGAAATGTCATAAGGAGGCCACCTCAAATAAAGATTTACTTAATAGTATTTAATTCAAGGAGTAATTTTTTAATTTTCATAGTTTTTCCATGGTTAAAAAAAATTTTTTTTTTAAATCAAAGTGTACTCTTAGACAAAGAAAGTCACAGTAAGATTTGAATTTAAAGTGGCCGCTCATGGCGATAACTTAAAATGGGTCAGTGATTATTACCTTTTTAGGAAGGTCAAAAAGATTTTGACCCTCTCTTCAGAAAGAGACACTGAGCATATAAGAGATATAATGCCGTTTTGTACTTAATTTGATTTGGGGTAACTCACAGACCCCTGCATCTCATCCTGGATCCTGATCTATAATTTGCAACTGAGAAACACAAGGAGCCACCTACAAGGCCATCAGTGAACCACGTGGTCCTCACAGCTTGGCTCCCAAGCCTCTCCTGACAGCCGACTCTGTAAGTCAGCTAACTTTCAGTGCGGGCAATGATAGGTTGTTTTCTTTGGAACTGAAGCAGAAATGCCCCTCACAGTGGAAAACCTGAGCCCAATTATCTGGGAATAACACTGTCCTCTATGGTCCTGCTGTAGCGACAATTCACTAGCAACTCAAAGGTAGATTAAAAAGTCATGGGTTTCAGAACACATTCTTATCCTGCCCCTTACAAGTCAAGTGATGTTAAGAAAAGGTATTTAACTTCACTAAGGCTCAAGTTTAATTGAAAAATCAGGATGATTAAGGGGTAGGGCCCTGAGCAAAGACATCTGGAGCCATACCCCTGACCTAATCAGCTAAGTATTACAGAATCAGTGAACATATCCCGGGTGAGGATAATACATACCCAGTAAAACAAATGCAAGGTTTTATAGGCTTTGTTCTGATTGTGTTTAAAAGTTTGGTAGAGTGTTTTTCTTCTTTTTACTCTACTCCAAACCTTGAGTCATAATGATATATTAAGACTATAACTTTGTTGCATGCAATTATTTAGTGATCTATAGAGGAAAGCAGAGTTTTAAAGTTGCTATTAATGCTTCCTTTGTGTCTCAACTTATCAGTTCTTTGAGTTTGAGGTTATTTGCGTACATTTTAAATAAGCATCTAATTTACTGTTAGATTTGAGTTAATGTTTTGAATTAAACTTCATCACACAGTCATATTTATTCAACAACAAATATTTATGGAGGGAGGTCATACTATGTGCCAAGAAACAGGGCAACAAATAAAAGCAGACAAATGCCCTTCTTTCGTGGGACATATGTTAATCCTGTATGGGGGCTGGGGAGAACAGTAAACAAATAAGAAATCAAGATCATAAAAAATTCTAAGGAGAAAATTAGAATTAAAGGCCAGTAGTGATGGGTATGAGAAAGCCATTTTAAATGAGTTCATCAGCAGGGGTTTTCTTAATAAAGTAACATTTGAGACAGACTCTGAAGGGCATGGGGGAAGCAAGACGTGTGGAAGAAAGTGCAGACACCACGCTCGCGTGTGGGAAGCGCGCTGGCGTGTTCTGTGATGGGCTAAGTGTGCCTGGAAAGGCAAGGCGGAGGGGAGTGAGTGATGCGAGCTCAGAAACAACATAGGAGCTGCGCCATGTGGGGTCTTGGAGGTCACAGAGTGTCGTATCAAAATGATCCCCTCTGGGGTTTGGACTCAATAACATGTTTGTCACAAAGGAATGTAACACCAGAAAGTATTGTGACCTCTTGGTAGGCAAGTCTGGTTCAGAAGAGGTCAGAAAAGCTGCCTCAGAGGCTTAACATTCAGTCTAGTCCAATTCCATTGGACTAATTAATTAATTGGTAATCTAATTAACCTGAAGGATTTGGGGCACTTATTAAAGGAATTTTGAAACTCTTCTCAGAGGATTGCAGGAAACCTTGGGGATAGGCTACCAAACTTGATACTATACATGGATAAGCTTTTGGGCCATGAAAGATTTACTGTACACCCAGTGGTTGTATATGGTGACATCACATGTGGGACATGAGGCACAGATATTCCACAGCCTGAGGAAAGTATAAATAGAAATATGAGGGTTGAGGTGTATTATTCAGAGATTTTTTTCCTACTACAAATAACAGACACCAAAAAGCTAGCTTAAGAAAAGACAGAGATAATTCATTATAAAAGATATGGGGTAATTAGCAGAATATAAGGGTAGGAAGGCAGTCATGCCTTAGGGTTGATTCAAGACCAGAAAATTGCAAAGACTCTCTTCATCTCACAGCTCTGCATTTCCCTACCCAGCTGCTTCATTCTTAGCTCCCTCTGCACACAGAAGAGAATCTCACGGGCCAAGCTGGAATCTGGTGTTTGCTCTTGGTCCAATCAGCTATATCCAGGGAAATGAGGTCAAGTAGTATCAACAAGCACGGCTGTCAGAGCCGCTACCTAGGAGCCACTCTCAAAGAAGGTAGAGTGTGGGACAGACAGCCCAAGTAACCTCTGCCACATCCACATGTGATTAGATCACCCACCTATTTATTTTACTTGTAGACAACTTTGAGAAGTAGTCCTGAAAAAATTCCTACCCCAATTCAAGGGGTTGTTTTCAGGGGATGAAAAATGATGAGGAAGGCAAAAAAAAAAAAAAAAAAGGTAAAGAAAAATAACAGAATGAATACATTTTTCTCTTGAATTATGTTTTTAATGAGAAGATTTCTCCATCATGTCAGCATGATACAACAGAAAGAAAAATGGACTAGAGTCAGAGAATCTGATTTAAATTTTTACATTATCAGTTAATAGTCATGGGAATATAAGCAATTCATTCTGGATCTCAGATAAATGACACAGGTTGAACTAGCTTCTTTTTAAGGTAACTTCCAGATACCCTTTGATATGATATTTCCATTTGGTGGCAAATAATCCTAGGGATTTGTTGTCCATTCATTGAAGACATAGAGCAAAAATATGAAGGCCAAGAGCAGGCTATAGAATCTTACACATCTGAGTGTGATCTTGGCCCTGCCACTGTTTTGGAGTTGGATCAATAAGTTAGTTACTAAATCCAAGTTTGCTCATGGGTAAAATGCAGGTAAATGCTGACTACTGTAATGAATTGTACCCACTGAATAAGAACATGAATGTAGAGCACCTGGCTTACTGGGAGTGTTTAGTTCTGGTCATTGTTATCCACCGGTGAAAGTCCCCAACTCGTTCGTATCCTACTAGGTGACTTAGAATAAATGTGCGGGTAAGTGAAAATTAAACTCCAATGCTCTTTAGAGTTCTCTAATGGCAGCAGCTAGTGAATATGAGATGAGAGCCCTGGAAATTGCAGGGGTGGGGGTATCACACGTAAATGACACCTCCCTGTCGTTCGCAAACATGATCATCTCTGATCGCCTTGTAAACTGCGGCTTTCCGTGTCCCCGGCGGCAGGTGTGAGAGCGCGGAGCTGGATAATAAGATCCTCGGTCAGATCGAGAGGAACACTTCCGATCCCAGAGGGGTTCGCCCGGCGGCCACGTCGAGTCATAGAAATCCCGGTTCTGTGAAGGTAAGGAAAGCCTTCTGCTGCTTCTCGATACAGCCTTCAGCAGCGTGGTCACCGAGGGGAACACACCGGGACAGTCCCCGGACCGTTTCCAGTAAGGCACTTCCTTGCCGGCTGAGAGGACAGAGTGAACCCGTGCAAACTTCTCTTACACAGTCACTTCCTGTTACTAAAAAAACCCTCCACAGCAGCTCCTTCCAGTTTAAAGTGTGATATCAGGGGACCGTCATTACAGGAAAGGGAGGAGGCGCTCACGCCATTAGAAAGCGTGCTTAATGCAACAATAGTTCTTCTGTTGGGAGGAGCTAACCTAATGCGTATAAACTCACTTACACTGGGTTACTACAATGCGCACAACTCATCCCGTTTTTTTTTTTAAGGAAAAAAACACGATTTCCCTGATTAGATAAGTTCTTTGAATTTTCTCTTGTTTCAGGATATTTATCTATGGTGCTTTATGTAACAAATAGAATTCAAGGGTAACCTCAAGATAGGCATTTTGCAGATACCTTTCTAGAAATAAACCATAAATGACATCACAAGGTCTTAATCTCTGCAGTCCTTCCAGTTAGAAACCGTCTCTAATGATCATTTCAAAATAAATCTAATGTAAGTAAATTAGAGAATGTGGCTGACATTAAAAATATTTACATAACTTCTGCTTTGGTTTCTTAGTTCTAAAATGATCCATGATGGTTGTGGAAAAGCTACACTAAGCATAGAGAAAACTATAGAAATCATGTATAGAGAGATTTATTGTAGAGCTAATGAAGCTTGAATTCCCCTAAACAAATATTTTCTTTCATAACTAATTTGTATTGACAGATTTGTGTCTTTTTCCCTTAAAGAGATTCTGGTAGTATAAGCCTCAGGCCTCACCAAACATGGATCAGCCTCTGAAATCCCCTCCATGCCCGCTGCTCCTAGAGAGCCTTGCTTAGCATTGAGATCTGTGTGTCTCTTCTGGCCCTCTCTCTCTCTGACACACACACACACTCACATTCACACTCTGACACACACACTCACATTCACACTCTCTGACACACACTCACACACTCACACACTGTCACTTTTTTCACTTAGTAATTTGTTGTGGATCCTTCTGTACCTCTTTCATTCACTTAATGAACAAATAGTATTGTGCCCATTCTTTCCATTTCTCCCTGAAAAAGAAGCATTTGTTTTCAAAGTGAGAAATGACTTTCTGCTAATGATGAGGGACCAAAAAGGCTTTTCTCTCCACTTCCTTCCTTCTCTTTTCATCCCCACCCCCACTTTCATACACATACCTCTAACTCCCAGTTAAGACTTTCTTCCTTCATGGAAATGTGTGCTGTTTTGTAGTGGCCATCTAGTTTAACCCCCAAAAGAAATTAGTGATGACAATTTGAATCCCCTCCAGTAGCCTGATCCTCATACTCTCTGCTTATCAGCTCCTAAGACTTCTTTGCTCATGACCGACTTCCCTGCCCACTCTGCTCACTTGTTTTCCGGATTCCTCCTTGCATGTGAGAACCTCACAGCCTATTGCCAGCCTCTTGGTAATTAGTTCCCGCTCTTCTGGGGACTTAACTGGAACTTCTCTATCTCTTTAAGATATTGTTTCCCCTATCTCTCTTTAAGATATTGATGAAATTTGCTCATCTTCCTATACATTTCCAGGCGAAGGAGAGCAGGCATCTGGCTGATTTTTGTTTTGTTTTGTTTGCTTTGTGAAATGTAAGGGAAAGACATCTACAGAGAATGAGAGGGTAAAGGTGAAGTCCAGTGGTTAAAACAGGGGAAGATACCCAGGTGGCTCAGAGGTAGAGGATCTGCCTGCAATCAGGAGACCTGGGTTAGATACCTCAGGTGGGAAGATCCATTGGAGAAGGAAACGGCAACCCACTCCAGTATTCTTGCCTGGAAAAATTCCATAAGCAGAGGAGCCTGGCAGGCTACAGTCCATGGGGTCCCAAAGAGTCAGACCCAACTGAGTGACTGAGCACACACATATGAAATGTCCACTGAGAGAGGCGGGAGAGGGGTGCAAAGCTGAGCAGCAATGAGGACCACTTTCTAAGACCAGTCACTAATGCCTGTTTGGGATCCTGAATCTTCAGTCTCTCCATCACTTCTTACCAGCTTAATTCTCCTCAACTTTTAAATATTGAGACTTCATGCCACTGTATGGGTAATGTTCTTTGTTCACCATTAAGTATGATTCTATTTTATTTATTAACTTTTACTGACGTGCACTTGATTTACAATGTTGTGTTAGTCTCAGGTGTCCAGCAAAGCTACATGTCTATATTCTTTTCAGGTTCTTTTCCATTATAGGTCATTACAAGATACTGAATATAGTTCCATGTGCCATAATGTAGGTCCTTCTTATTTAGCTATTTTATATATAGCATTGTGTATCTATTAATCCCAAACTCCTAATTAATCCCTCCCTTCCTCCCTTCACATTATGAGCAATGTTCTAACTCACTCTTTCACATCCTAGCCAGCGTTGATCATGACATCCAAGTGTTTCCAACCAGTTGTCATGCCACGCACAAGCTCTACCCTGATAAATCCATGGCCGTTTTGCATCTGAGTTTTCGTGTCCTTTCATTTGCACTTAATACTATTCATTAACTTTCTTAAATGTCTTACTTCATTGACATCCATAAATGTGTCCTTCAACACCCTGCTTTTCCCTCTGCTCTTTTCATTTCACTCACCATCACTGTTCTCTCTCACATCACCTGTCTGAGTTACACTAGCATCACCCAGGGATCTGTACGTAGTGGTTGGCTCACTAAACTTCAGAACATATGCTGATAACTTCCAACACGTACACTTACTAAACATGTAGTTCTTTTCCAGATTCATATCAACTTCACTCAGCACGTTCAAAGATGCTCTCAGTATCTTTCCTGTTAAAGCTGTTTGTTGTTTCTCCACTCTCCATTTCCCACTTCCCAAGATGCACCCATGTCCCACCACCCCGCCATCCTTTACCAGACCACGCAGTTCCACGTGCTGTGCTTTTTCACATGCTGTTTATTCTTCATGGAAACCCTTGCCTCCTTGCCCCTTGGATGAACTGTGTTTCAAACTGTGTTTTCGTGTGAATTACTGTGAAACCATAGTACCTCCCTCTTCAGTCTCACAGAGTTCTCTGGTCCCCTTTTGCACTGTCCTGAATAAATACCTCCTTTAAACTTCATTCATAGGCTTTATCACCTTGATTTGGTAATCATTTATGTATAGATGTGTCTTCCCTCCTAGTCACAGACTTCCTAAGGATGGAGTGTAAAGTGTCACATGAATGTGTCTAAAGTCTCATAACATAGGTTCTTCTAGAAGGTACCCATGTTATGCAACATGTTTGGTTTCATGAACTATGAGAAAAGTATAATCACCTTATCTCTAAGAATCCTTCACAAATAATCTCAAAGTCTACAGGGGGGCGGATATTGAATATACACTTAAAAGCTCAGCTTCTTATCTTAAAGTTTTTGACTGGCAGTGATTGTCAGATGCCCACCTATCATTGCTGCTTCGAGATGTTAGCTATACCACTCCCAGGGCACTTTGTGGTACCACTCATGGTGACAAGTAAGCCTAATATTTGGATGTGTTCTCCAGAGCCCAAACAGAGCTAAACACTATGGTTCTCTCCATTTCAATGGAAAGACCTTTCTTTCCCAACTTTAGCTACACGGGCCCCCAGTGCTACTTTACACATCCAGTGTTTGCCAGAAATATGTGTGATCATCTATTTGATCTTCATCCTTCTGCAAATGGGGAAACTGAGGCTCAGTGAAGCTAAGTACATTTCTCGTGGTTTCTACTATAGCTTCATTTCTACTATAGAACTGCATTCTGGACCTAAACCCAAATCTGTCTGGGTTGCTCTATACATCCTGCTTTTCATTACCTCTTCCTCAAATAAGAATCATTTGAAGTGACTGGGCCTGAGCTCAAGGTGTTATCAGGAGCGATGCTGTTGTCAGAGCAACCCCTTCTTCCTGTGTGAGGCATCACCCTTGCACCAGGCTACAGTGCCTTTACTTTCTCTCTCTCTGAGGATGAGGTCTCCCAGGAACAATCCCCAGAAGTATCTCTTCACCTCCCAGACTTCTGGCATCTCCTTCTCAATTGTCATCTGAAGTATCTTCAAATATTTGATTCCTTAAGTAAACACCTTAATTTCCAGCTGAAATCTCTGCTGAATTACTATTTGCAGTAGCACTCCTCAGAAGGAAATCCTAAACTCAAAACAAACAAAAATTTTTTCATTCTCACTGATATATTGATGGAACTGAAAAAACGTATAAGAAAAATTCTTTTGGGGTAAGACAAGGGTGAGTCAATGACAGAGAAACTGTGGAAGGCATCTCTCATTTTCCCACTGGATGGAGCAAGCATATGAACAGTAAGGGAGACTCCTTTTCTAGGAAGAAATGTGTTTCGTTATGACTTTATAAGATGGGTAAAATGCTTCAAATGGTTCAGAGAGTATAATCTTTTAAAAGATTCAGCAAGTCTCTAATCATAAAGAAATACGATTTAATGAGGAGTCCTGAGACATATGTCATGTTCCCTTTTTGGTCTACCTTTGCCAAAAATAAGAGGGAGAATTACTATAGAGAAAATGAGAAGACTAACTCATTGCTTTGAGAAAACAGAAAAACATTATTGATGAATATGAGGAGCTCTATCAATATGAAAGCAGGTTTTAATATTCTGAGACAGTTGAAAGTAGAAAGTTGGTTAACAGAAGGCACTGAAAGTCTTGTAGGCAAAAAACAAAAGATTTTCTAAGTGAGAATACTACTCAATTCCAAAGTGGACATTAAATGGAACTTACACTAAACTAAGACATGGTCTTAATACAGTGACAAAATTAATATATGAACATTGATTTATTACCCTGTAATTGTGTGTCTTCAAATACAAAAGAAAATGATAGAAGACTTGAGATGTTTTCTTGGACAAACAAATATATTCCAGTAATGCTTGGAAACAAG